AAATTTTCTGATGTAGTGTGTTAGTAACTTTTTTCTCTGATGGCTCGAGTCAGTTAAAAGGCAACTTCTAGCCAGTTGGTTCACGTTATCATAAAATAAACAAATTTCCACTTTTGCAGAGCTTTTCATGGAGTTACCTTGTGAATGTCTTAGTTTCCAGCATATAATTTTTTGTTGTTTGTGTGGTCTTGAGGAGAACGTTTCTCGGTCTCCTTATGGTAGGGCAAGGCAAGTTTTTATTATCATACACAGGGGTTATTTAATGTGCTTTATAAAAACAAGATTTCAAAAAGTTAAACCAAGACAAAAAAAAGCAAAATAGAGATGAAAAAAACTTATTTGAATAAAAATTGCTTAGAAAATCTAAAAAATCTGATTAATGTCCTGCCCCGCTCATCCGCTCCTCCCGTGTGCCACGCTGGAGCGTAACTTCCGCGATAGGCGGGGGATCCAGACCCATCAGCGATAGGTGAAAATCCGCGATATAGAAAGACCATATACATACATATATGATATGTGGACATTGGTCTAAGGATATGAGTGACATAAAATATGAGAATTTCTGGTATCATTTGAATGTTTCTAGTAATGCATGGTGTTGGTCTTAAATTTTACTCATAATGGTCCTAAAAGGTCTTTAAAAAGGTCTTAAATTTAGCTTACTGAAACCTGCAAGAACCCTGTTAAACTCTGTTTATTGCTTGTTATTTTAAGTGTTCACTCTGGTCATCTTTTTCTAGTTTTTTGGATCAACACTGGTACCTAAATATCCTATATTTGGAATTAAAATTTTTTTTTTTTTTTCCATCATTTGAAATTGCTGCTATTCAGCGACATGTATTTCATTCACTTATAGCTTTGGTTCACTCTGATCTGAAAAATGAAGTTTGGCATATTTTGTGTTTATTTCAGCCATGTTTGTATCACTCCAAATCAGTGGGATCAGAAGAATATGAATGAAATAAGTTCTTTGTCCTATTGGCATAATATACTGACTTTGCTGCAGCATATTAATGGCAGCCGTCCATAATGAAACCCATAAACATGCACGCAGACACAAGTGCAGGTGTTATGCAGAACTTTCATTAAACAGACAGAGAACACAGAGAATCCAAAATCAGAATATGTGGCTGAATATCTCATTCTGGGCTGGTGTAAATTGCTCACAAGTAGCCTGTAAAATTAGCCTGATGTAGTGAAAAGAAATATTATTGGGATCAGACTGGGTCGTGAAAATGTTTTGAAACAAAATGGTGCAAATCGGCCACTGTCGTAAAATTTGCCGTGAAGTATTATTCCAGCTTTATTACCTTGGTTTTGGGGAGACTGCAGCCATTTCTGTAAAATGCTTTTTCACCTAAGTGTTAAACTGATTTAATATATAGGAATTCAAGCAAATACAACCACTCCTTGTTTTGCAACAGTTCTTTACCGACAACGGGTAAGCAAAAATCGCACTGGCCTAGCCCAGGGCTATTTAAATCACAGTCCATAAGGGCCAAACACTGCTGATTTTCCAACCTGCCTTTACCTGTGATCCAGGTCTGAAGCCTCTGTGGCCAGTCAGAATCAGTAATTATTAAACTATCTGGGAGAACTGAAAACAAGGCCTGGATTTGGAATCGAGGGCCAGATTTGAAGAGCCCTGGCCTTGGAATTCCTATGATGATGCTTACAGTTTTTCTTCAGTGTTCTATACCCAGTTTCTATTATTTCTCAAAATTGGCATTAACATTTTGTTCATTCAACTTCAAAGGTCTCTCTCTCTCTGACTTTTGTCGTAGATAGGTGAATGAAATTTGGTCGCAAATTCGTATTGGCAAATGGTTGTTAACCGAGGTGGTCGCTAAACAGGGAGAGGCTGTAGTAAAACTGCTTAGCAAGAGTAACCTTAAATAAGTGTTGTTCTATTTGAATTCTTTGAAAGGTGATGGCTTGATAAGAACCTCCAGCCCTATTGAAAAGCTGCGGAACGAGGGAAGTCGAGATGGACGCGCTGATGAGGATGACATCAGGGCCTCCCCACTGCTCTTTGACAAAGTGTACGGAGATCCTGATCTGCAGTCTGAACTGAAAGAGCCTTCCAAGTGGTATGTATATCGCTAGTTCTATAGTAATGTAATTGCAGTCAGTGGAACATCTTTATACTGTTTGAAAATGACTGACTTGCTTTGCTTGAAATGCCATCAGTTCTCAGTCATTGTATCCCAGCTAGGGCTGAGCGATATCATATCGATATTATATCGTGCATGCGCAATAATCACTAGGGCTTCAGATGACAGACAAAGCATTTGGCCGGACGCCAGCTTTTCGGTGATATACGGCCCATAATTTGGTAAGATTAGTAGTATGGCTTAAATATTAATCATATGCGTTTTGTGATAACCAAAAGTTAGTGATCTGTATAAACTTTATGTTTCTTAAATTCGATTAGCGGAGCACCCCACATAATACTGTTTTGGTATACTACGGTTTGGTATACTACGGTTTGGTATACTACGGTTTGGTATACTACGGTTTGGTATACCGCTTTGGTAATCGTGGTGAAGAAGAGCAGCCAAAACATCTTTTAAAAGAGGAGATCTTGTGGATAAACAAGGTAAAAAGACGTCGGCGCTGTGGTGGTACTTTTTGCAGTTCAAAGTCTGACACATTTATTAAACATAAGGATTTGCCGTATTTATACTAATAATGACTTTTGGACGTCATACAAATCCTCATTAATATTTTAGCCATACTACTAAACTGCTTAAATTGTGGGCGTAAATAAATGTCCGTATAGCACCGAAAAGCTGGCGCATGGCTAAATGTTGTGCCTGTCATCTGAAGTTATTGCGCATGCGCGATATAATATCGATATGATATCGCCCAGCCCTAGCTTAAATGTTATAAAATGTGTGTATCTATATATGTAATACCTTACAAATGTTTCACATGATCCGATCTTGTGTGTAGTTATTTTTATAGTGAAGTGACCTGCTGAATACTTTAAATCCTGTTAGAAACTGAAACTCAAATGTGTTGTTTGGACCCCCCTCAGTATTTGTATGTAAGGCTACCATTTGCCACAATAAGGTTTTTAGGAGAAACCTGCAGCGTTATGCATATGTTCAGTGTTACTTAGGTGAGGCTGTATTTTCTGAGAAATAGCAGCAATGTTGATTAAAAAAAAAAAAAAAATCTGTTCTTATCAGTTTAATATCTGATACGTCCCCCATGGAGGGGACCACATATTGATTAAAAAAAAAAAAAAAAGTATCGTACCATAAAAAAGGTTATGATCTAAATATGGTGTGGTTCCAGCTCGAGCACAGCATGTTATTTGGTTATTTCAGTGCTCCCCTCACCCTTTTTCTGACAGCAGCACAGATAACGCCAGAGAGCCACAAGAAGCATCTTCTGCCCTTAATGCTCACCTTGTAGCTGAAGACCCCAAATTTGCCCAGGGGTCAAAGGTCGGACCTTCGAAAGGAGGAAAGGAAGCCTCTGGCTTTCTGCTGAAACTGAAGGATGCTGGCCGATCCAAGGCAACAAGGTATGATTCTCTGTGGTATTTCAGAAGGAGGATCTTTCTCCTTATTTCTACTGGTGCTGGTACTGATGCTAAAAGGGAGCTGGTTCTCAGGTGATGCTTAATGGCAGGACCTGAGAACCAGCCTGCATTTCCACTGGTTAAAAAACATTTGTAACAGATGGGGAGTATGCCCATGATGGACATGTAACATTTTTAAGTTCTATTAAATATTTAGGCTAATACTAACTTAAGCTCTGCAGTGGGTTGCACCAGTTCAGCGTACGTTTGATCATGAAGTTCTGTGTTGAAACTAGGTAGTTTAAAACTAGTACCTATTAGTACTAGTGTTCTTTGGCTGTTGCACCACTGATACATAAGTTACATTATAGATAGTCGCTTCTATATCAAAAATGTTGTGTGGAATCACGTTATCATTGTGGACCACCAATTGATATCATTATGATATTACTGGAACCAACTGGCTGTTCCATGAATGTAATTGCAACTGGCCTCACTCACGTCGGCTGTTTCTGTGACTGTGGAATCTTGAATTTTTTGCAGTAACTTTGAAACATTTTTGTGCCTTTAATTTTGCACAAATTAAAGGACCCAAGTTTTTTTTTTTTTTTTTTTTTTTAATAATTTCCACATTCACAAGGGTCTTTGGTCCCTAACCCTTGCAAATGTGAAGGAGTGACTATGTTCAGATATAACTCACTTTGCTCGCTCAATAAATGGATATACTGCAGTTGTAACAACAAATGATATAGAAAATGTTTGCAAAAGAAGTCACACTTGTGCTATGATTTAACTAGCACTGTACATTTAAGGCTCACCGTGGACATATAATTGTAAAAATATTTAGTTATCTAAAACTGCTGTTGCTTAAGAAAATGAAAATATAGTGGCACTTTGGAACACAAACTTAGGTCCAAGTTGAATTTCCCCATAAGAAATTATATAAATGGATTTAATCCATTCCAGACCCCAAAATGATTTTTTAAACTTATCTACCTATCTAACTAATGATAAAAAGCTTTAACAATCAATATGAAATGCATACACACATGAAAAGCACACATACAAAAGTGATAAACATGAAGTAAATGACAATTCCATACTAAGCGAGAGTAGACGTGTACCACCTTCAGGTCTCGCTGTGATTTCCTTTTTAAGTTCTACAGTTACTCTCACTACTTTCCTCTTTGGTTTGTTGCTGTCATTGCTTACTTTCTTAGGGGCCATGATTAGTGTATCACTGAATGTATTGTAGATAAAGCACAAAAAAATTAACACTGAACACAGGAACACATCTTTCACATGTCGAACTCAGTCAAGAGGTACTGTGCAACTGAGAGCGAGTCATTGGCATCAGCACCCCAGTATGTTCGTTTGCCTTTTTTTCTGCCCATCAGAGACATGTCTTGAGCTGCACACGTTTTAGCAGGCCTGTTTTGTTTTTGTCATATTCTGAGTTTTTGGTCGAGTTGAGGTTAGATTTTTCTTGACCAACCCATTTGAGGTCCATAATGGTAGAGTTGAACGTGTCTCGACCCATACAAGTTTTAGCAGGAACAGTCGAGTTCCAAGATTTAAGTCGAGGTATGAGTCAATAAAATTTCAACAGACCCATTCAATGTCCAAGTTGGTAGAGTTAAGAGGTGTTCAAGTTCCAGGGTTCTACTGTATTAAAATTATTATTAAATTATTTTATTTAAAGCAAGCCAAACGCTAAGATTCTGTGCAATTTGATGTTAAACCAGTGTCAAAGTTTTTCCATAACTGGTTTGCTATGTTCTATAGAGCTCTTGCTATGTCTATAAAAGTCTTTTAATTGCATTATAATTTCTCAATGTCAAGCTCATAGTTATGCTATATGCAGTTTTGAGCAAATTCTTCATTTTGCAATATGTAGTAACATTTACCCCAGAAAAGAAATTCCCAGGGGTCTGCTGCCGAGAACTTTTCAGCCCGCTTTCAGTGTGGTTGCATCTGAATGTGAGCGTGTGTATGACCATATCCTAACACGCCGTTATCTTATTTAGCTAGAAATTGCAGGAGATATGTAATAAGATATTCATCTATTGATTAATCAATAAAGGTCCCAGAATAGGTTTTAGTGCTATTTGAGAATAAACATGTCAGTGTGCATAATCGGTACGTAAGCTTAATGGGTAAATGTACTTTAAGGTGGTTTAAAAACATTTATTATAGTAAGTTTTCTTCATTCGTTTGGGTAGACAGTTCTATCATGTTCATGGTAGCTCATAGTAGAAGATTGGCTGGAATAATTTTAATTCAACAACAGTGAATTGATCAATTACTTTATTTATTGAATTTATTTGTTTTAGCTCTTGGAAACAGCATTCACCTGTTGCTGTTTCTGCCCAACCGGATCCAGAAGAGGACTTCTTAATAATGGACGATGAAGAATTTGCAGTACCAGATCGAATTTTCATCCGGAAGCGACCAAACCCCCACAGAATTGATGACGCCAGTGATTGTCAGCAGAGGGAGGTGGGGGAGAAAAGGAGAGTAGTGCAGGATGGCACTGAAATTCCCAATGAGGCCTCGTCTGGGATGGGGAGTCCCACACAAACACGGACTAAGACTGGCAGAGACAATGAGCTTCAGGCATCAAGAAAGACCAAGCCGGGCAGAGTTCAAAGGGAAAAAGATGGTGATCTTGACATAGAACGTTCAGTACTCACCAAAAAGACTAAGGTGGGCAAAGGCCAAATGGAAAAAGATGTTAATCCTGACGTAGAACGTTCAGTACCCACCAAAAACACCAAGCTGGGCAAAGTCCGAAGTGAGACTGACATTGATAGTGACCGTGAAGTAGAACATTCAATACCTGCTAAAAAGACCAAGGTGGGCAAAGGCCAAATGGAAAAAGACGTTGATCTTGACGGAGAACGTTCAGTACCCACCAAAAAGACCAAGCTGGGCAAAGTCCGAAGTGAGAATGACATTGATAGTGACCGTGAAGTAGAACATTCAATACCTGCTAAAAAGACCAAGGTGGGCAAAGGCCTAATGGAAAAAGACGTTGATCTTGACGGAGAATGTTCAGTACCCACCAAAAAGACCAAGCTGGGCAAAGTCCAAAGTGAGACTGACATTCATAGTGATTGTGGATTAGAACATTCAATACCTGCTAAAATGACCAAGGTGGGCAAAGGCCAAATGGAAAAAGACGTTGATCGTGACGGGGAACGTTCAGTACCCACCAAAAAGACCAAGCTGGGTAAAGTCCGAAGTAAGAATGACATTGATAGTGACCGTGGATTAGAACATTCAATACCTGCTAAAAAGACCAAGGTGGGCAAAGGCCAAATGGAAAAAGACATTGATCGTGACGAAGAACGTTCAGTACCCACCAAAAAGACCAAGCTGGGCAAAGTCCGAAGTGTGAATGACATTGATAGTGACCGTGGAGTAGAACATTCAGTTCCTGATAAAAAGACCAAGGTGGGCAAAGTCCAAAGCGAGAATAACGTTGACCATGGTGTAGAACGTTCAGTACCCACCAAAAAGACCAAGGTGGGCAAAGTCCAAAGCGAGAATAACGTTGACCATGGTGTAGAACGTTCGGTACCCACCAAAAAGACTGAGCCACGTCAAGCCCATAGGACAAATGACAGTGACACTGGAGTAGAACATTCAGTATCCACCAAAAAGACTAAATCAGGAAAAGTTGCCAGGGTACCGCAAATCGCCTCCACCAATCAACAAGGGATTTTAACAGAGAGGAAAGGTAAGAACTCCAAAATAGAAAGGGCTAAAAAACAGGCAGGCAGGAAAAAGCTTAAGAGGAGCAGCCGGCAGAATTTGAGGCTGACAGATGCAACATCGGGTGGTCCAGATGACCCAGGGGAAGATGCAATTGACCAAGACGCTGGACGTGACTCCTCATGGCAGCGCACCCCCACTCCAGGTGAGGGGTTTAACACTGTACTCAAGACCTTTGTACCTGTCTATATTGTATTGTCTGTAATAAAACAAATTTTGAATAGATAACTAAATATTAGGGCTAGAGCTGGGCAATATGTCCTAAAAATAAAATCTGATTTTTTTCACAATAAATCCGATTTTCAATTTCAATCGATTTTCCCCTCCCCTACTCAAAATCAAACTACAGATGACAAATAAATGGTTCAAAACAAGTTTTAACTTAATTTTTTTACTTTAGTGTTAAAGTTCAATCTGACAAGCCAAAAAAGATGCTTGTAAGTGAGATGGCTGACCCACGCCATTGGAAACACTTTTAGAAACTTGTAAAAACTTTTTACAAGTATGTATGGGCACCATGTCTTTTGCAATATACACAGCGTTTGTTATCGCCTTCCATCGTGCCCCATTCTTATCATATGGCACACAGTTCGAAAACATGTCAGGGACGGTTGCTTGCTTAACTTTGGATGTTGTGCTGGTGCTGCGGGTATTTTCATTTCACTGGGAGCTGCACTCAAAATGGGATCTATCTTACTAATGACTTGTGTGTATCCAGATTAGTGTGATGGATACTCCAAATTGCATGAACACAGACACACACAAGTGGCTTTAGATGATTCTGTGCCATGCAAAAATGAGAGGAATTTGTGAACTGGCTTAAATTGTTTTCATCAAGCTGAGTACTCTGCATCTCTCCTTTTCCTCTGCAGGAGAGGAAGAAGGTAGTGGATATCCACAGCTGACGTCAGCAGATGATCCGTGCAAGAGGCAGGAAGGGAGCAACCATTCCTCAGACGATTATGAAGGCAAGAGGATGCGGAGGAAGCCTGGGTCCTGGTGGCTTATCAACCAGGATGGCGATGAAGAGGGGGGCGACGATGCAGTGAAAAGAGGAAGGGGGCATCAGGAGAGAGTGGGTTCGGTGCGCCCAAACAAGAAGCAGCGGGACAAACATGCCAGCTCAAAGAAGAGCGCAACAGGGTCCAGTGTAGAGGCTGTCAGGAACAAGGCCAAGGAGAAGAGCAGCAGGTCTTGTAAGCAGAAACCCACAGGGTGGCCCTGCCCCACGGTGTCTGACCACTGCCACAGCACCAGCCAGGCAGCAGGTATCGTGCTCATAGCCTATATGTGTACTGCTGAGCTGCTGAGAGTTTCATACCCGTACTAGGGCTGGGTGATATCTAATAAAATGCTGTCTTAATTTACAAACATTGGGATACGCAATGTTAAGGCATCCAGCACCGACCCAGGCGCGCATGTATGCACGTGACACCAACAAGGCGTTTACATTTTTTATGTTAGTCTAGAGAAAAACGTGAAAGAATGAAAAAACTTTATACGGATAATCCACTGCACAGCTGGTGTTAAAATTAGCCTATCAGTGCTGAGTGTTGCTTTGTTGTCTCTGTGGAAAATGATCGATTGTTGGGCTGGATTTAATTATGATTTAAAAATCTGTCACGGACTTAAAATCAACATGACATTGTTTCTCTTGTTGTTCATTACTTTTTCCTTAAATAGTTCCTTAGTTTTTTCCTTCAGTAGTTCCTTCAGTAGTTCACTAAGATTTATATAATTAACAGATATAGAAACAAATAGTAACTGCATGGGATAAATGATGCGTCACAATTCATTAACGATTAATTACTTGACATGATCCAGGTATACAAGATTGTAATAGGTTTAAATGTTTTTTCATCTAAATTGTTACTTAAAAATAAGTTCGATTCAAGAACCTGTGGCTCCAGTTGACACTGGGGACACTGTGCCCAACAGGTCGGCCCATCCTGTGGTCTGTGTGGATCCCGTAGCCCTGGCGCAGTGACTGGGACACTGTGGCCAGTAGGTTGGCCCATCCTGTGGTCTGTGTGGGTCCCGTAGCCCTGGCGCAGTGACGGGGACACTTTGGCCATCAGGTTGTGGTCTGTGTGGACCCCATAGCCCTGGCGCAGTGACAGGGACACTGTGGCCATCAGGTTGTGGTCTGTGTGGACCCCATAGCCCTGGCGCAGTGACGGGGACACTGTGGCCATCAGGTTGTGGTCTGTGTGGACCCCATAGCCCTGGCGCAGTGACGGGGACACTGTGGCCATCAGGTTGTGGTCTGTGTGGACCCCATAGCCCTGATGCAGTGACGGGGACACTGTGGCCATCA